TTAACATTTATTACATTATGCGTTTGTCCAGGTGTATGTACAGCTAAGATTGCATGCATGCAGTGTATAGGCAGCATGTTTGCGCGCATTATTTTACCTCTTTTGAGTCTCCAGCAGCCCCTACGATGGCTCTTGCTGAGCCGAAGTAGGGTTTGACTTGTTTGCCTATGATGGAGATATGAGAGCTTGCATTAGCCCAGAAGGAAATACGAACATCTCCTATATCAGGTTTAATAGGGTTGCCGGTATAAAGATAGTTATTATAAACACGAGTTGTCTCTCCACTAATAACACGAGGGGGGCGCTGCTCCTCCTGTTTATACACCCCATCGTCCTGCAGCGGCAGCTGCTGCTTCTTCCGGAAATAGAACGAAAAATCCCCAGGCAAATTAAAGCCCCCCGCCTTCAAACCAGACGCTAGCTGCAGGAATAAAACAAATAAACAGCAACGGAAGCAGCAATAACAGCAGCACAGGCAGCAACAACAACAGTACAAGCAGCAGCAGCGGCAGCTGCAGCAACAGCTCTGAGTAGATGTATTTTTGAGAGGAATTAAAAAAAAACGAAACAGTGAAAAACTGATAGATTTAACTGGAGAAAACGACAAAAAGAACGGCCAATATACACATACACCCCAAAGAACAGATACACCTCATAAATCCTCTACGGTTTCTAGGGTTTAGGGTTTAGAGCTTCGGTACTTGCCTGGCGGCCTACACCCGGCACATGGGGGAAGAAGTCAGGGTTCCGCAAACCATCAAACAGACTCCACATCGATCGAGGCACCTGCAAAAAGCGTACATACACCTCAACTGGCATGCAGTGTAGATACACCTCAACTTGCATACAGCGTACATACACCCCAATTCTCTCTCCCCCAACTGGCCTGAGTCTTCCTTCTCCGTTGGAAAGATTCGTGGGACCCGTCAGCAGAAACTGGAGACCCTTAACCCTAAACCCTGAACATTAAACACTAAACCCTCAGCCCTAACCCCAANCAGCAGAAACTGGAGACCCTTAACCCTAAACCCTGAACATTAAACACTAAACCCTCAGCCCTAACCCCAAAACCCTAGACCCTAAACCCTACTTACGAGGTGGTCGACCCACTTGGGGTTTCTGCGTCCCAAGAAGTCGGGGAGGCTCGCATATTGGAACATCTCGGCTTTGACTTCAAAGAAGACGCCATGGAAAGGCGGGAGATTTTTAGCAAAGTTCTCTGGGGGATAGAAGGTAGAGGAGTTGCGTACAGCGCACTCGAGGTGTACGTACAGCCCATCATTATGCGGGCTGGGTACGCAAGAAGCTGGAACTAATTCAGACAGTACCGGGCTCAGTCTGCGGACCTCTTTTGCAAACCGACGCTCCTTAACAACTACAAACAGAGAAGTAAACACCAAGGCAACGAGAAGCACCCACAGCGCCTTCCGCTGCGTCTCCGGCTTGAAGCCGCAGCAGCCGCACACCGCCATCGTTTGGGGGTGTACAGGCACCACAAAGAAATGAGGCCTCCCTCTCCCCCAGGCTGCCTTATGCCCAAGCAGAAGCAGAAGAAAAGACGTGCTGTAACGGGCTGCAGCAACAAGACCGTTGCTGCTGGTCTCCCCTTGAAATCAGGAGTAGACCGAGTAAAACCCAACGAAATATACGCTGCAGTAGCCTTATACTACCCAGAATCTGCACAAATTCAGCTGTAGAGGCACCTTCTTCAGCTGTATGGGCACCTCCTTCAGCTGTATAGGCGCCTCCAAGCTCAGGCCCATCGGCGACAAGCCTCTTAGGGCCCTTCTCCTGTCTTTCTGGGGCGTCTTGCTCCGCCCCTGGATAATCGAAGAAGCTGCGAAATCGTCTCGATTAAAAGACTTTGAAAAAAGAAAAGAGCAAATAAGAAATAGAGAAAATTCAGATCTTGTAAGGCACGCCTCAGCTTCCGGCGGGCGGACGTGTGATGCTGTAAGCGGCTGGCTGCTGCTGGTGCGATGTTCTGCTCTCTTTCTGGTGAATCCTTCGTGTAAATGCCAAGACAGTGCACAAAATATTCACATTTGCATTAAAAACCAAACAATGACACGAAAACTGGCCCCAGAAAATGACCTGAAATGCTCCAGCCAACCCCTGGACACCGCAATCGACGACAGCCGAGCAGACCGCTGCTGCCGCATATTACCTGCGCTCTGGGTGTGAGCGAAACGTGAGATACATTCCCTGTTTTTGCAGTTTTAAAAACTAAATATTTAATTGTTTATCTAAATAAGACAAGAGTTCTGAAAATATATCCTCCTTCGCGTTTCATTTGGCTTCTCCGCCTGCTGTACCCGTGCCGCCCAGTCGGCAGCGGCTGGCTGCACTTCAGCCGTAACCACGTGATTTATTGCTATGGATATGGCAATTTTTACATTTTACTCCATGTATTTATTTGATTTACTTGTTTTGAAAACCGAAAATAGTAATATAATAACGAGCCAAACCGAAGGAGAGGCAGAGGAACGGCGTTGCACGCAACGCCCACTCCCNATAGTAATATAATAACGAGCCAAACCGAAGGAGAGGCAGAGGAACGGCGTTGCACGCAACGCCCACTCCCCGCCCTACAACACAAGCGGTGTTTGTTTGCTTTCGTCGATACAAAATTCGCCTTTATGTAACTATATATGTTTTTGTTTTATATTCGTATTTGCTTCGAGTTGTCGGGATAATACAACTATCGTTTTACCTTC